GCAACCTCTGCTTTTCATTCACAAATACACTGAAACTGAAACCAGTAATTAGAGTGGGTGGATTGATGATAATTGTTGTTAAGTGTGGGACAGCCGCGATTCTTCATTTGGGAATATCAAGTCCGCTAAAGGACCCAGGCGTTTTGCCATAACCGATGTCTAGCATAGTTAGACACATTATAACAAGATTCTCAACTAACTCTGCTTCAGGAGGCAATAATATGAAGTTTATTCAGTAAAGAGAGAGTTCTGGCAACTTTGTAATCCTAGCACTATAGTTTCCATTTAACGATTTAAGAAATATGGGACAATGGCACAATATGATGAAACTAAATGTCTTACCTTTATAGCAAACATATTAATGGCCATTATATATGTTACTTTGGTACATTATCGTTACTAATTAGACTGTATAGAAACCTAGAGCAGAATTATTCACTTTTTTCGCTTCTCTTAGAACATTTCATTTTTTACAGTATTTTACCTCTGTGATTTGAGAGTTTTGGTCTCTGTTCAACATTTTTATTATTTTCAAAGCCATGTGTAAAATCCTATCACTTTTTATTTTTTCACACTATAGGCGTGTGCAGCAGACTTCATTAGGGTCTGCACCGAGGAGTTCTTTCTCCCTGTTATATTTTAATTTTATATACAGTGCATTTTTATGAAATGAACATTCCAAACACCATAAACACTACCTATTGGTGGTTATGTTGTCAGGTCTGCCCTGGCGTCGTCCCTTCTAATTTGCCATACTGTTTTAGAACAATTTAACAACCTAACTGGTTTGCACTGGCCAAAAGCACCTGCTGTCCCTTCTATGAAGACATCCAGCCAGTTCTGCAGTAGGAGATTGGGTGCGGCGCATGTGCCTAGGAGACCCATGAAAATTGTCAGATTATTCTAAAAGTTACACTGGAAGAGTAGTGGGCTGCACAGGTTATGGTGCATTGTGGGTTCCTTTAAATACTCAATCACACACAACGTACTGATACACACAGTGATCCATACAAACATACTAACATACACAGTGAACCATACACACGCAGTGATCTATACAAACATACTGATACACACAGTAACCCATACACACATACTAACATACACTGACACACACAATGACCAGTGCAAAAACATTGCAATATACAGAGACCCATACAAACACAGTGATACACACAAATGCCATAACACACACATTGAACCATACAAACACACTAAAACACATATTGATTTCACTTTCAGAAGTGGTAGTTCTTATATAAAAAAATATCTTGAAAGAACACTTCTTTTGCCTACCGTTCTGTCGGAAAACATATTGTAACATCTCTTGAGTTCTGTAGCTTTTACATAGCTGCAAAACATTGTACATTTCTAAAATAACTCATGGAATATTTATGTAAAATTATACACACAGCGAGCTGGATTTTATAACAGTAGATACGGTAATCACTGTAATGGAACAGTCGTTACCGTAGACTTTAGCAAGATAATTGCTATTCACTTGCCTGAGTTAGATATCTCTCTGATCTTAGAATACAGGTCCATGTCTCTTCTATTTTCAACTATTACTTCAAGAGCAACAGCACCAATGGTGTACATAACCAATGCAATCCCATATGCACTGCTAATTGTGTACTCAGTACAGGCACAAATACTCAATCATCAGTCCTATCATTTTTTTTTCACAATTTGCTACCGGTATTACAGACGATTAAAGCAGGAAGATGAAAGTCAATCTGATGAAAACCAGGAGCTGTCAACTTTGGATTTACCAAAAATATCCTGCTAAGGCTATCACAAAGTGACTATAGCATGTTATTATAAAGAACAAACCAAAAGAACCACTAACATTATATATTAATTTTAATATTTTATCCATTAACATTTTGTTATATAAACGGACACATACACACTAGTATCTTTTACCGTAGAAAGGTAATAATTACCAAAAAGAGAGAAATGTAGCCAATAAATAAATATTTTAAAAAATATATCAAATGTAAATTTAATAAATGTAATATTTACATTTTGCACGACTTTATAAAGAACGTTAGGCATATCATTTACCAATTCACATGTATTGCATAAACTATAAACTGTGGAAAGATAATTATTACCAAAAAGAGAGAAATGTAGGCGATAAAATAAATATTTTAAAAAAATATATAAAATGTAAATTTAATAAATAATTTTTTTATATTTTAGGCAAATTTATAAAGAACGTTAGGCATATCAATTAGTAATTCACATGTATTGTCTAAACTATAAACCCTGTTAAATGGTTTCCATAAAGTTTAATACTTACCAGGTTATTAATCAAGAGGTAAAATTTACCAAGAAACATGTCTAAGTAGGAAACGGCTATATGTTTGCGGGAAATATAGCCAGCTACATTTAGAAAACTCTGCAGACTAAAAATCCCTATTCTCGCATAAAACATATTGCATTAAAAACCCAGCCATATTTTCACCCACATGAAATATTAGAATAAACAACTGCCAGAGAGACAGCAATAACATGCGCGTTAACACCAGCGCACTAATACGTTTGGTAATATTGTTAGAGAGGCCTGATGAAAGAAATTGAAGACATGTCATAAATTCTGACGAACATATGGCTGTTTCAGCCAGCTGCTTTTTTCTGTATAACATCATGCTAACGAGAAGTGATTCTTACTAGAAGCTGAAACAAGAATTGCAAATGGGTCTTTGAGATCTACATCATCACAATGAAACACATACAACTCTTTACAAAATTTAATCTTAAAATTCCTATATTTTACCATTAAATTGATGAAGTTTTCCACAAAAAGGGTGCCCTTTTTTCCCCATAACATCTGCACAGCACTTACTAAATCTTGCACGTTTTCTATTTTCATGTGTGTGTGTATGTATATGTGTGTGTGTGTAAAATGGTAAAAATTGTATTTTAGTGAAGAACAATCACAAAATGTAATACTCATTGGAAATGCAGGGATAATGAATATTCATGGATTTAGAAAGCTGCAGGTTTAATTAAACTGTAGATAAATTAAAAAAATATGTATTTTTTTATTTATTTGTTATTACTAATAAAGGTACTGATTTATTAGTATTGGATCAGCTTTTCAAATGATTTAATATTCTTGGATACATTTTTTAAATGGATTGATATTTTGATTTTTTTTTTCTAAATGACACATTTCTTATTTTAATATTTTGAAAAAAATATTTTGCAAGTTTGTCCAAAAATATGCAATCATTTGCAAAACTTATCCAAAAATATTAAATCGAAGCCAGTGAGTTTATATGAAAAGATGATCATTTTATTTAAAATTCATTTTATTCATTAGCAAACTATGAACTTGTTTGTTGAGCGTGTTAAAAACCCCTTCCACTTTCTCATTATCTTCGCTTTCCATTTCCTTTTTTAAATAATTTTTTGCTCAAATATTTTTTTTGAAAACTGTTCAATAAAAATAGTTTGAAAAGAATACTGAACTTGCTACATTAACCAGGTATGTACTTTCAATAAGATGTTACTTTAAATGTTTTTATCTCCTGCTCTGTAAGTTGAAGTTTAATCACATACAGGAGTGTCCTGCAGCATCAGCGAGCTATTAACAGAGTAGGAGATATGAAATTCTAGATGAAATTTAGAAATTAAATTCAGAATTTGCAATAAAGGAATTGTAAACATTAGATGACTCTTTACAGGAAGTGTTTAGGAAGGCTGTGTAAGTCACATGCAGGGTGGTATGACTAGTGCTGCATAAACAAAGTGATTTAACTCCTAAATGGCAGAGAATTTAGCAGTGAGACTTCAGAGGCACAATCTATACACCAAAACTGCTTCATTAAGCTAAAGTTATTTTGGAGGTTATTTTCCAAAGTAGACATTGCATTGAATTGGAAATCTTCAGAAACTCCTTCCTTTAAAAATGTATCCCAAGAGGCAGATTCTATATTGCTGGAGAAAGTCTCATTCTGCATCTGCCTTCCTCCAGAAAAATGTATGCTACGCTTCTACAGTTTTGCCCTTTTCTTCACAAAAAAACTACTTCAATACCTTCATAACTACACTCTCACTATAACCCAAACGCTTCTTTCACACCGTTAACTCTCTTCTTCACCCTGTTGTTGCTCCTCCTCCTACTAAATTGACTTCTACAAACTTTGCAACTCACTTCACTGAGATTTCTAATCTCTATAAGATCTCTAATCTCTTTAATTTCTATCCTACCCCTGCCAATACTCCCCCCAACCCTACACACCCCTGTATTTTTTGCTCAGTCACACCCACTACACCAGAGCAGAGTTTTCTGCTCTGCTTCGGTCCTTCAGCCCCACCACTTGTTTCCACTATCCCATTCCCTCGCATCTCATCCGTGCTGTCTCTTTA